ACTAATTTGAGAATAATATTTTTGTGACATTTCTGGATGTTTTGTACGTAGCTCTTCCAAAATAACTTCCAAGTAAGTAGCTACTTTCTTGTTGTTATTGTCGCAGTTAAAGTTTTTATTGGAACTAAATGAACTCGCATATAATTTCTTAAAAACCCTATATATACGACTGTAAAGCTTGATAATAAATTCATTGAAAGGAGTCTCTTCGCTGAGTACTGTATATATATATATATATATAGTATTTAATTGGTGGATGGTGACTAGCAATGAAATCCAGGATGCGCATTTCGTCCTATTTGGCACTCGTCACTGGATGTACCTGCCTTTCTCAGGGAGTGACGATGTTCCCACCGAGGCTCGAACCCAGTGCCCATAGTTTCAAACACCGAAGCGTTATCCACTAGATCCTTTGGACGAAATGCGCATCCTGGATTTCTCTGCTAGTCACCATCCACCAATTAAATACTAACTAAATGCCCAGACGTCGTCGAAGCATCTTCACAAGAAGTCGACATGTCAACCTGAGACCGAGCACTTCGGGCCAGTCAATCGACGGGAAAATCTAAAATTCAATTAAATATATTTTAAATAGCTATGGCAACCGAATCCGCAGAAAAGATAAGGAAAGGCAAAGTCAGTGAACATATGAATTATTTTAATTGAGGAACAAATCCTACTTGTTAGGATACAAATGCATAACTGGAACATGCCAAGTAGATCTAAAACAAGATTATAAACATCCAAACCACAGATGTTACAAATTTCCTGGGATAAAATCTTAGTTGAAGAGGCTGTTGCTTACACAGCGAAACTTTCAGAAAGATCTTGTTTTGATTTTCTAAACACACTAGGATTATTTTAAGTAATTTTATAATAGATGTGAAACATTTGATAGGGAGTGAACCAACTGGTTTGTCCAGTTTTCTCCACTTAGGATTGATTTGTTGCACTGCAACGCGTTTTGTCACTTACTACTGAAGTGAACTAGATTTGTCTAGGCTATATTTTTCATACAAAAATAAAAATTAGTGTTAATCACTAGTTCAGAAGTTGTTGGACTGAGACAAGAGATAGTAGTGTAAGTTTGTTTACCTCTCGCCAAGATAAGAAACATGATGTCAGTCCTAAGAAGTGATTGCAAAGAAAAGGATTTCTGCTTCTTGCGAAAAGGAAAATGAGTCAGTTTCTAGAGAAGATATAAAGTTCTTGTAAAGGATGAAGACATGCGTCGGTGGCATAGCGGTTAGACGCTCGCCGACCATGCACATGGTCCGGGTTCGATCCCCGGCCGACTCACTCCTTCACCTCGCTAAGCCAGAAATAATGCTGGTAAACAGGAAAGGTTGGGCATCGAGCTAGCAACTTCATCCTGTAAAATTAAACACTGCTACAGAAACTAGCTTGAAGCCCTATGTTCCACTGGAAACGTGAAGGAATAAAAAAAGGATGAAGACACTTTTTCTACAGGACATAAATCTCAAATACATTTCTGAGAAGCCTTAAATAAATGATTTTCATGTAGTAATTTATTTCGAATCTTAATGCAATTGATCGATGTTAACATTCTTAGACTGAAGTATCTTTGGAAATAATCAAAGTGGTTCTTCGGTATTACTACTACTAGAATGTCTGAATGCCTGTAATAAATCTAACTTTTCTTTATAATAACTGTCTTTTATATTTACACGCATGATACTTCCGATCGACAAATAACACTAGTTTCCCATTCCTCTCATATTAAAAGTTACGCTTTACTTCTTGAAAAAATATCAGATATTATTTATGACTTCGATAAGGAATAAAAAATAAGGAAGATTTCTTCTATTGCATGTACAGCTATCTTCAGTGTTAACTGTTGAATTTCCACTATCTGTCAGTGAGTCACTTAAGATAGTAAAACAAGATAAATCAAGAATATTTAGTAAAGTTCTTAGGAAAAAACACAAGGATAAGACTTAGTCTGCTTTGATCCCATAGGTTACAGATGTGATTACTTTTTTCAACTCATTGAAGTTTCTTCCGATGTTTTTATTACTGTTCTGTAATTTCAGATTATTTGTTTTTATTTCCGAATGTAATTGTATGTTTTAAAAAAATGGCTGTTTATTCATAAGGTAAATGATGTCATGAAGATTGGTGTTTTCTCAAATTGAATGAACACGCTAAGAGTCTACTTCTTAAACTAAATGAATGACTCTTGGTTGATGTCGGTTTTCAGAGACTGGATAAAAGCAAATTCTTTCGACTGTGCTTGCTTGAATGTTGGTTATTCAAAGCATCAACTGACAACATGTAGTATTATGAATCGACTCAAGACTAGTACAGTTCTTAGGTAAGCTGGAAATACAAATGATGAAGCTGAGTATCCTCTTTCTGATTAAATATGTTACACATTATACTAAATAATAATAGAAAAGCTCTGAGAAATTTGCGCATGAATCTAAATGTTCTCTTTATGTCATTGAATTTGGTGTTAAATGTAATTAGGTAGTCTGGACAAATGTAAGTGAAAGGTATTTAGTCGTTAGAATGTCTCACAGGAGAGAAAAAAGATTCGATTTTTTATATCTTTCTCTTTGGTGGAATAGGATGAGGTATTTTTATAATATCTGTGACGTGACAAAGGGAGTTAGGAGTATCGGATTTTCTTATTACCCAACAACAGGAAAACAATAAATACCCTTGTATAAAGAACTGGTATTTTAAGACAGGTAGGTCATTTGCTATACGTTAACTGTATCCAACTTCTTAACACACTGCTAATCATTTCTCAGGCAATCTACTTCTCAGTAATTTTCCATAGAAGCCCTTCTGTCAAATATTATCGTACATTAAGCAGACTAACTTCTTTATTTGTCATACAGGCAGCACATGATTACATCATTCTCAGTTGTGTTTTATCTGCAAAAGGCGATAATCAGTTGCTTCTCCTATACCCTGAGTTTATGGATGGTAGTGTTCAATTAAAGCATATGGTTCCCTTTCCTTTTTCTGCAAGGGGTCCAGTAGTTTTACCTCTCTCTTACACAATTCTATTTTAAACGAAACCTGTGGGCAGATCTATTCAAAACCATTAGATGACATAGTGCAGAACTAATTATTTTACTACTTCATATGTATTTCATGAATAGCTCCCCATTTCTACTAGCTAACTGATGAGTTCTCTGACAGGTTCACCATCTTTAGTGCTATCCTTCACTATATATCTAAAATCACCTAAAATGCTACGACATTTCTCACTAGCCTGACAGCTAATTCCATAAAGTTTATAATTTTACACATCTCCCCGTTGTTATCTAAAAAACTTTCGGATAAATGGTTTGCTTCAAAATCTTAAATGAGTTAACTGTGCGCTTGTTGACTGTCATATCTATACCTACATATTGTATGATCTGTAACTCAACCAGATATCATAAACAATAGTGAGCTCTTTTGCACGAAAGTGCTCTTCGTTTCAAATGATCTGTCTTGAACTAAAATCTTTAACTCTGTTGTGTCACTGTGTTTGTTATTCTAGTGTCTCGAAGCTTGTGGTGTTGAGATAAAATCAACTGTTGAATAGGATAACTTCTAGTCCTCAAACATGTTCTCTTGATTTTAAAATTACTCTCCCACTTTCATTTATGTGCATTACTCAGTCCTAGCCAGACATTAAATTTATGACAAAATACCAACTCAATGGGTAATCAGTTTCCTCACGGTTTCCTATTAAAAGTGATGACAGAAGGTTAGACATTGTTATAAGTTGGTTGGAGAGAAATTTTTATTACGTAACACCAAAGCCATTTAATTATGTTACGTAATAAATTTTTTGTTAGTTTCTTATGAAAAAATGAGTAATACATGTTTGGAAACTGTAATTATGAACTCATCACTTAAGTGTACGGTTTATTGTTGTACAAAATTATGATACAAGGTGGGGGAGTAATCGAAATTTAAATGGTAATACGATAGTAAGGAACGAAAAGGTTAAGTTTTCACAAAGAAGGTGTTCATCACTTTCACACACTATACGTCACAGATGAAAGTAATTCTGCGTTTCAAACTGCTTGCAAGTATTGGTTTTGTAGGGATTTTGTTTGATTGCATGGAGGATTTCATCATGAGTCGACATCAGTTAGAGAACCACTGGAAAACCATAGGGTACTGGACAGCTGTTTCATCCTAGTTTGGGACTCTTCACAGTACGCACCCATTGGGGTTCCAACCCAGGACCTTCTGGTTACAAGGCAAGCTCGTAGACCATTGAGCCAGTGGGACCCGATACAATGGTCCTTGAATTCATTGGAACCCCGGTGGGTGCATACTGTGAAGAGTCCCAAATTAGGACGAAACAGCTATCCAGTACTCTCAGGTTTTCCAGTGGTTCTCTAACTGATGTTAGCTCATGATGAAATCCTCCATGCAATCAAACTGTTTGACTGCGATATATTCTTTTAGAGTAAGAGAACTAAAATTTGTTGAAATGACAGTTTATACGGTAAATATGATTTCTTTTGAAAATGCACGGAATAGATGTTACAAACAAAGAGGAGAAACGTTTACTGTATGTGTTCAAAAATTTTGTTCGAAGGACTGCTATAGATTTGAGAAGTACATTAGTCAGTGGTGTTTTTGAGTTTAGATCAGACCACTAAGTGATAGAAATTTTCCGGAAATTTATAAAACTTCCAAATAGATGACACGCTATCCCTTTCGGTCTTTCAGTCTACCTATCAAGTTTTGAAGGTTTAATGTTAAACTTTGGCTTGTTGTGCTTACTGAATTGAAAGCACTGGCGTATACGAAGGAATAGCCGAGGTGCAAAAGTGAACGTTAAGTTTCTAAAGATAGTTGCCCACTTGGTAGCACTATGGATTTCTCTTAATAAGAATTCATAGGATGTGTTACAACACTATTGTCCTCTCTGCAATGAAAAATATTGAAAAAGTGTTACTCTCTTTTTTCCTCACTACTGATCCAGGTGACGATTTTTCATTTATTTGTGAATCAGTTATCACCAACAAGCCGTTATTAAGCCTGTTGGAAAGAAACAGGCGGAAAGAATCTCAAGTGGTCTACTCAAACATCTGCATAATAAGTTTTTATATTTTTACTGCAATCATTTCTGACAAAGCAGACATTTTATTAGAAGATTCCCCTCTTTGCTGTCTTTATTTACTCCAGATAACACAGTCTACAAAAATATGTTCTGTATGTCAAGATCTGTGAAGATTGTAAACAGTGGTTCAACAGAAAATTCAACTGACAATAAATTCATAAGCTCCAGGAAACTTTATAACTCAAACAATCTGAATAACACGTTATATGTTAGACCAATCGCCACAGAACTCGTGGATAATGTGTCATTTACACCTCATTCAGATAATAAAATGGAATCACATTTTTCATGCCCTCAAAGTCAGGATTTGCCCACAATGTCTTCGTCACATAGTGTCAGTGTCTCTGATAAATGCAGTGGATCCCTGGCAGTTACTAGTTCACCTGAATTAGTGACCAACTATTCTTTCCTGAATCAGAATCGCAATCCTCAGTCTATATTTTATACAAAAACAATGTGTTCATATCCAGACGCTCAGAGTCATGAGCAGTGTAATTCGACATGTGCTAATTCTCTTGGGTCTAAAGTCACATCATCGTGTAATTCATTTCTAAATTCATTGGGATTTGATCACCAGTTTGTGAGAAATAATACCCAGTCACGTAGAAACTCTACGGCTGTGTCAAACAAAAATAAAGACAGTTTCTGTGACTTTGAAACAGTAGACAGTGAAGATATTGCAGATAATGACCGTATTTCTAATTATCATCAGAATCAATCAAATCCCAATCTCCTCAGACTTTTATCCAGTTGTAACCAATTAATTGGGGATTCATCGACGGAAAAGCCGTATTCAGTAGCAACACTATCATCATTTTTATATTCACCAGAACCTTCAATTTTAAATACTAACGCAGCAATTTCTAATAAAACTTCAACTCTGCTTACTTCAACCCTCAAAGGCAATTTTAATTATTCTAGTGAAAATTCTTCTCTTGATAGGAAGACAAACAGTCATCAGGCCGAGGATGATGATGACAATATTGTTGAAAAGTATGACAGTGAGAGAGACTTTAAATATAATAAGACCACTCATTCAGACACATACTCCTCATGGATGCTTAAAAACTACGTACAAGCAAACAATCCAATCAGGTTAGATCAGCCGTGTACTAGCAGTGATGAAATTCATGAAGTACCATTTTCTTCAATTGAGAATTATTCTTCAGATGTATATAACCCCTCTTTATCATTACCAATGTCTTTCTCACCTTTCTCTCCATCAGTGATCCATGACTGTAGTTCAGTAGAGGGAAACAGTCAAAAAAATACAAGTGCTCCTGATGGCAATGAAATTACTGGTATGTTAAAATATGATGAAAAACATCCAAATCCATTAATTTGTCCACCTTCCTCCTCATCTTCGTCCTATTGTTCCTCTTCTTCTTCGACGTCATCATCATATTCTGACCATAACCACCAAAACTATTTCGTGCAATCGGATATTCCTCCATATCTAACATCACATCTTCAGGCAGTAGAGTGGAGTTCTAAGCTTCAGTACAATCCTCATGATAACAGGTGTCTGCACCACGAAGACAGACATCAGGAACAACAAAAACAACAAATATTTCTGCATTATCCAAATCCGACGGAAACTGTTAAGTGGATGCCTAGACACCTAATAACGATGAGTACACAGGAACAGCAGCAAATCACAGACTATATTCCATTGGATGAACCACACTCAGTGATAAGCAAACTTCACATGGATTATAATTCACAAATTAGCATCGACAAACAACCTTCATTAAATGAAAGTAAGTCATTTTATTTAATTAACATTCAAAAGTTTTATTGAATATAAATCAAAACTTTGTGAATAAGCCTTCTTTTGTTAACACCCATAACACACCGTTTTCGTTTAACTGATGAAGTCTCACTTAAACCTTGAACAAATGACTATATTGCTGGGATATAAATCTAACTCATTAAAAATTATGAGATGCTCAACAGAATTTAAATTCCTAATAGAAGTTTTCAACATTCTACATTCATTATGAGTGTACAATTCACAACCTTAAACTCTTGCATTACAGACTTGTAACAGAAAATTGATTCATATTGGCGTAAACACCTATTTAATTGTTCAAAAGTATTTCACCTAACTCATCTTATATTTCTCTGACAGGTGTACACCTTTAGATCTTCGTTATTATCACTAGACTTTGTCGTACGTCTTTTTTTACAGGAGTTGCAAACAACATAAGTAGCACAATGTAAGTATGATGTAGCTATTCTGCTAGATCGTCTGACTAATACATTTCGGGAAGTATCATGCGCCAATACTTTGTCAAACTGAGTTGTTCATCCTGAGTGGTATTTATTCACCAAATCCTTTTCCACATTCATTTATTTACGCCACTTAGAACACTATTACAGAAAGTTTCTTTGGAATAATGTTTCAAAATTATAAATACTATTAGCAACCTTTTGAGGAAATATTATTCTGTTTCAAAGAAGCTTTATCAGAACATTGAATAGGTTTTCATTTTTGTCAGGTTTATGGAAGCTTTACTTATACATCCATAAAACTAAAATGATTCATGTTTACTTATTGTGTCTTTCAAGAAACAAGGATAACCCATTTTGAGTTATACGTTTATTATTTCTTGGAAAAACGAATTCCCCAATCTTGTAATCGAAAAGTTACTATGAATTAAACACTGTTTATTACTCAAGAAACAATTTTTAAGGATTTGATTACTGATCGACGTCAGTTAGAAAACCACTGAAAGCCAGGGAGTACTGGATAATTGTTTTGTACTAGTTTGGGACTCTTCACAGTACACACCCGCGACTCCATTAGGGATCGAACCTGGACCTTCAGGTTACAAGACAAACCTTACTTACCACCCAGCCATTTGAACTGTGAATTTCAACTTCTACCAATTCGCGACTTTAGCACTTGAATCTCTTGTATCCTTATGATACCCAATAGTGAATTAAGGATTATATTAGACACGAGAACTAAACGGATTATGTTTAGGCAGTAAAATAGAACTTCGCTAGTTCAGATAAATGAAAGAAAATATAGGTGGTTGTTTCAACTCTAGCTAATTAAGAGGATATGACACTTTGTTAGTTACGCGAATACAAGCGCCCTTTGTTATCATTCTTAAGTTAAATTTAAACTTTCTGGAAACTTTTTAGTGCCGGTTGAGTAATTAAAAAAAACCTTTTCTGAAGTTGTATAGAAAAATCAAAGTTTGAAGATCCGACTGAATTTCATTCTGACATTTCACCCAAAATGCTATCGAGAGATGAACTCAAAATTTCCGGGTTGTGTATGACGACGGATTCGATTATAAGCAATAATTTGTAACAGAAGCTGGGGAAATTCTTCAACTTTGATTTCATCTTAACATAGGTCATTTGATTAGGTGTAAAGTCTGTAAGTAGTACATGAAGACACAATTGAGCAAAACTTACAAAAGTCCTCGAATGGCATGACATTTCACAAAACGAAAGTGTGAACATCAATTGAATTGGATTAAGTAATTACCTAACGGATGCAATCAATATTTTTCTAGTTGAAGCTCTTTTATTGATTTAAATCTGTATAAAAGAAGACTTATCCGTTTGTGTTACTTTGACAGCTTTGTCTGACAAGAACTTATTAGTGATATGTTTATCGGTGGTTTCAGTGTTCTGATCACATTACCGAATAAATAATTACCTTGTTGTTTCCCTCTCCATTTGTTGTTTTCTTTTCACTCCCCCGAAATTAGTAGTAGAAGAAGAAGCACGTGGTGTTACGTAACTTCAATGACGCCAAGCACTACATGACTTAATCGTGTATGACTAGAAGCAACAGTGTTTCATGTTTCTTTTAGGTTTTTTCTGGGTTTTCGTATTTATTATTTTATTTATTAGATGAAATTATCATAGGGTAATACATTTGTCAATCAAATGTGTGTGCGCATTGTCTTTTCCACTCTCATTTAAAACAATCAAAAGAAAATTAGCAAACTTGTGAGTTGCACAATGTGTGAAATCATTCTGTATGGGGAACTGTGAGCATATGGAGTAGTGTAGAAATCCAGGTAGCTCTGGACTGACATGTATTTTGTTTTATAATTCCATTATAGGTAAAATTTATTTTGATAAATTCTTACAGTGTTATACAGTAATAATAAAATTATACTCTACCACAGTGCACAAGTTCTATTCACATATTTTGTTTTAGTTCGGAATGGTCTTGTGCTGTAGTAAACATATGGACTCTCATACACTGCAAGCAATACATTTATTTTCGTTACAAAATGATGACGATTTCAACTCCGATCGTTTAGTCATGGTAATACTCAGTCGACATATGTATTCTTTAAACAGCTAGTTTCATAAGGAGTACTTAGCAATGATAATACTGATCCAGAACTTATTGGGAAGTCGTTTCTTAGTCAGTCTTCCAACATTTTATTAGAGATTAATTCACTTTGGAGTAAACTCAATGCCTTATTAGGATAGATAGCCATAGATAAAGTTACGAATATTATTAATAATTGGTGATAATCATAAATAAATTGACTGGACAAAAATGCGGTTCTTTATTTGGATGAAGGATATCTCAGTGAAGTACTCCACCAACCTCTACAAATATAAACGTATATATTCGAATTTCATGATTTGTAATCTGTCACTAGTTGTAACCATATCCAATGTTGATTTGAGGTTCTGAATGGCATATGTAACCTGATTCATGCATGTGTAGACTACATGCTACTAGTAAAATATGGTTGACGTTTCCCTTGTAAATACATATCTAACACGTATATTACTTTATTTTTAAGAGTCACTCCTAGCACAACAGCGTGGAAATGGAAATGCTCGGTTATTTCCTGTAGCTTTAGAAGAGGTAACAATAACCTTAAGGTTAGTATATTTCTAAAGGATGGAAAACCTGAACGAAATGTTCCAGTAGTGTTTTCCAATGAGGATTGTCTTTACGCTCATACCTTAAAATGCTTGATTTTACCATCATTGGTTGGAAATTAACAGTCTTTTTGAAACATCTTTATAGTTGTATAGTATTGGTTATTTTTAATTTAAGAAGCTGAGCTATATAGCCCACCTTTTTTCTTTGGTCATTCCTGTGTGTACTACTCTTTTGCATTTAATTTTCATCCAATTCAGAAGATATAACAGTGATATTTTCAGTTTAACAAAAGCTGTATAATAAAGTATAATTATGTTTCAATAGGTACGTCTGTGGCACAGTGGTTAGGACACTCATAGACCATGAACATGGTCCGGGATTCGATCCTCGGCTGACGCACTCCTTCACCTCGCTAAGCCAGTAATAGGACTGGCAAAGAGGGAGGGTTGGGCATGAGGCTCGCAACCTCACCTTGTAAAAATAAACACCACTGCTACCGAAACCATAGAGCTCTAGCTTGGAGCCCCATGTTCCACTGGGAACGTGAAGGAATAAAAGAAGAAAGAAGAAGATATTTCAATAGTTTACACATAGTGAGAAGTTTTGTATTAGTAATATTTCGAGCAAAATTACTGCCCGCGTTCACACCACTGTTGGAATTGTCTTATATAATACTTTCGAATTTGAAAAACTTGTATGGAGCACTAACCCCCTCATTCTGAATTATCAACTGGTAAAATTTCTGAAAGTGAGTATTTATGAAATGTCGGTAAATGGCCTTTTAATCTGTTGAAAATAATGAAGTAGTAGACGATGTATAGTATGACTTTGACATTCGGGCCCTGTATTGTGCTCATTAGTTCAAGCGCGTTTCCATCATTTCCTAATTCTTTACTTTTATCATATACACGTTACCAGAACACTTTTGGGTGTACAGTGAAAGTAGTCACTGTGCTAATTTTACTACTACATAATTTTGTTTCATCAAAAAACTTCTCACTAAAAGCACCTAGAAAGGAAGTGTGACCTGATTGTCGTAGTATCACTGCTATCTTCTCAGTTTTCAAACAGACTTTATAAATAATTACCAGCAAAGAAAAGATGTTGTCCTCTATGGCCGGTCACCATTTGATAGCTTGTTTTGTAGCAAATACTGAGCTACTTACAAATAATGTTTATTTTGAACAATGATAATTAAGGCCATGAACTAGTAAAAAGTCAAGCAGTCGTGGCTGCAGTATGTCAATCGATGAATCAAATGACATGAGATAGCTAAGGAGAAGATAAATAAAAATCAGAGTGCTGCAGATGTGTGTATTCATGTATTTTATATATACTTACCAATGCATGAGTGAATATGGAGACGATACAAACTAACATTTTTTGCTTGCTTAATGTAAGAAATGATTCTAGAGGACAAAACATAATCTGTATACGTATTTCTCCTATCCAATAGTGTAGTTTTTCATGTGTGTATATCCATAAAAGCGTGTAAGCATGCAGTTATCAGTCAGAATGTGTGTACATTTCAAAAAAAATATTTATTTTTCATGATGGCACCTCATAAATCTTACTCTGCTAACACCCACCATAAAAAAACCTGAAGAAAAATAAAATAGAGTAAGCAAACAAGTCTGTCACATGATCAAATCAACTCCTTTATGTACTCAGGAGCCTAAACACACACTCGAACAAGCAAACACACACTAGATTAACTACACCCATTTACAGAAGCTGTACTTTTCCATCTGATGTGTAAATGTGTGCGTACACCCTAAGAAAGTTGATATCTCACGAGTAAATACTTTAGATAACAAAAGTGTGAGCATATTACGTTTTCTTTTGTCCTGCTTCCTCCTCCAGGCTGTGGAAGTAAACTTG